CATATATATATGTAACTATTTTAAATTATTAATAAAGATATAAGCAAGGCCTTATCTTAATACCAAAAAAAAAAAAAAAATAGATTATATTTACTTATTAGAGTTTTTAATTTAAATTAAATCAAATATTAAAATAATTTAAATTTGATTAAATCAAATATACTTTTGATTTAATTTGATTTAATTAAATATTTAATTCAAATATTTAAATTTGATTTAATTTGAAAAAAATTGATCAATAAAATAAAAACTTGGTTATAAAAATTTTTATTATATTAATCAATTTTGAGCTCTTAAATAAAAGTGTTCTTATAAACAAAATACTTCTAATTTTACAAAATAAAAAAGTTAATTGTTTTAATAAAATTTTGAATAAATAGTTTATAATCTTAAACATTTAATTATAAATTTTTAAACTAAATCAAATATTTGTCAAATTAAATCAAATTTGATCATATTTAAATTTGATTTGATTTGAAAATTTCAGATTTAAATTTGATTTAAACTTAAATATTTGATTAAATCAAATCAAATCAAATTGCAAAACTCTATTATTCATGTTTCTACAAACTTCTAAATCAATTATATATATATTCTAATATAAACCTTTTTATTAATTAAATAATTTACAAAATTAACTTTTAATCTATTTTATAAATTAAATACAGCATATTATTAAATTAAATACTAAATATTTAAATCTAAATAAGTTTTAATCATTCTAATAGGTTTAAATCACAAATAAATTAATTAAACTTTTATTTTTATATATAATTTTTAATTTATTTATATTATATAAATAGTAATAACTGTATAATTAACAATTTAATAATTAACTCTATTTGCAAATATTGACTTCAATTATAACATATATATATAATAATATTAAATTACTAATCAAGATATAAGCAAAACTTCACCTTAATACCCCTAAAAAAATCCTTCTAAACAAAACAAATCCAATCTTCTAAGTAATTTTATTCAAAAAATACTGACCTTAATAAGCTCTGAACCTAATTGTATAAATCTCAATTATTTTTACCAACAATTTTCAAAATATTTTAACATCAAAATCAATAAAAACATGTTACAAACATCACATTCAACTCCTGCAAACAAACAACCTAACAATTGCATTACTACAAAACTCTGAAGCAACATTAAAATTATTACTACTTCAAAACACCTACCACTAGTGCCATCATTACCTGCTTATGTGAAAAATTAACTCTACTAGGATGACCTTCAAAAATACAGATCATGTCGTGGTGCCACCTATATTCAATATGCACAATATGCAAATATGCAATACAAGGTCAAAATTTTCATTAGCAATAGCACTATAAATCCAGTACTGATGGCGCCACCACATGACTCGTATTTTTGAAGGCCGCCCTGGTAGAGTTTGAAAAATTCCATACACATTTCTATTCACAATTGAACTTAACCTATGAACATCAAATTTCATATGTTGTCAAAAAACCAAAGAATAAAAGATCATTTAATATGCAATTAACTACTATTTAGTCTTATTGGATATTATAAATACTCAACCACAGCTTAAAATAACTGGGCGAAAAATAAAATTAACTTTTTACAATTTGAAATTGATTGGTTAATAATATAACCACACTAAACAAATGTCTTTTTTTGGGAGGGAACGTTCAATTGAAAAAACTATAACCAAAAACAGTAGCTTCTATAATTGATACCAAACTTTTTACAAATTAGGAAGTGTTTATAAATGTTAATTATGATTAAATACCGAATCCCCTTTTTCTACGAGGCACACCTGGCTCTCTCCGACCTGGTATTACAATTTTTGAATTTTTAGGCGTGGCCATAGCTTTACGTTGTAATTCTTTGGCTTCTTCCTCTTCCTTTTCTCGAGCAGTTTTCATTTGCATTTCCATTGTCATTCTTGCCATCTCGGCTCTATTTGCTGCACGTTTTTCCTGCAGATTATTAAAAAATTTTATGAATATTTTGTAGTAAAAGATTAATATATACGTGAATTGAACATACCTTTTGCGTGAAATTCTTTTCTTTGATCGAATAAAACATAGGACTATGATAAAGAACGTAAAAAAAAAAATCAACACGAATTCATTAATTGAATTAGAGTGAATATAATAGTAGACTTACCCCATTTCAGCAAGCCAATATGGATCTACTGCTGTCACACATTGCATGTACTCTTTTGACGTCATCACCAATTCATGGTAAACAATATAATCTGGTGTATAACCAAGTCCATATAATGCGCTTGTAGGGTGAAGGTGACATGGCATGCCTGTACGACAATTTACATATTCACCAATTCCTTTAACTCTTGCAGCTTGATGGAAATATGCAGAACAAATGCATTTGCGTACTACGTCCCAATCTGTACCGCAAGATACAATTTCCATTTTTTCAGCCTTCATGATATCCAGCAATTGTAACCGTACTTCCTGAGCCTTTCTCATTGCCTTGGAATGAATATAATGTTTTATACACCATTCATCACGGTAACTAGGATAAAATCAGATTATTACAAATGTACATTTATGTAAACCTTTAAATTTTAAATTTGTATTATGGTAATAAAACTTACCCATGAGACTTCCATTGAGTATAGACATGTAAAAGTGTTAAATGATCACTTTCCGGTACAAAGAATTTTTCTCTTGCTGCATCGCTCTGTTCCATTCGCTCTTTTGGTCTATAAAATACCGATGGTACAGAAAGCATAGATACAATTGTCTGATATAAAAAGTTTAGTAAATTAAAATATTCAAATAATACTATTAACAATATATAAAAAGTTATGAAATGAATTAAAACTATACCAAAATTTCAGCGGTGCATCCAAGCTCTTCAGACACAATTAACATCTTTGATAATGAAGGATCCAATGGAAATTCAACCATCCTACGACCCAGTTGTGTCAATTCTCCAGTGTTATCCAATGCTCCGAGAATCCACAATTGATACATTGAATTTAGTATGTTATCCTGAAAATATTTAATTCAAAATTAATTCATGCATAATAATTAATAATCATGAATAATAATGTGTTGAAAGATAAACGTACCTGAGGAGGAGGATCCATGAAGTCAAAGTCTAGCAAATTTTTAACACCCAATGACTTGAGTAAAAGTACAACATTAGCCAGATTTGTTCGTTGAATTTCAGGTATAGTATTCATAAACATCTCGTGCTGATAGGCATGTTCAGTATAAAGGCGGTAGCACGTTCCGGCTCCAGTTCGCCCAGCACGACCTGATCTCTGGTTTGCATTTGCCTGACTTATTGGAGTGATTTGTAAAGAATCCATACCAATTTTTGGATTGAATACTTTAAGTTTGTTAAATCCAGTATCGACGACATACATAATACCGTCAACTATACAAGAAGATATCAGTGAGAATATGATAATTATGTATAATATACAAAAATATAAAATTTACCGGTTAGTGAAGTCTCTGCGATGTTTGTTGCGACAATAACTTTTCTTGCATTATCAGGTGCTTTCTCAAATATTTTAGCTTGCAAATCGGCAGGTAGTTGAGAATAAATAGGGAGAACCGCCAATTCTGGTGGATTATCCAACTGTTGTAGACGTTCTATAATGCAAACCGATATCATAGATGAAAGGTTTTGTGACAATAATTCAAATGAAGTGAAATTATATCATATACATACCTGTAATTACTTTACAAGTTATCTCTATATCTTCTTGTCCAGTCATGAACACTAATATGTCACCTGCTGGATGACCGAGATGAATTGCAAGTACTTGTTTTACGGCACTGTCTACATAATCTTCACATGGTGTTTTACTGAACATTATTTCCACGGGGAAAGTACGACCAGGAATTTTAAAAGTGGGACAATTTCCAAAAAATGATGAAAACTATTTAAACAATTAAACAATTACATTTTATTGGTTATATTGACAAAACTTGTAATTAATAAATTCATGGTAAATACCTTTTCAGCATTCATAGTTGCAGATGTAACTATTAGTTTCAAGTCTCGCCGACGCGTAAGTACTGAATAGAAAGATTAGCATTAATTTTAAATACCCAATCAAGTTAGTCGGTTTCCTAATAAAAGCACGTACCCTGTTTTAATAATCCCATTATAACATCCGTTTGCAAAGATCGTTCATGAGCTTCATCCATTATAATAGAACTATAATGATCAAGATCAGGTTCTTTAAGTGACTCACGTAGTAACACACCATCTGTCATGTCTGAATATAAAATATGAAAAGAATTAGCAAATTTGTATTTAAGAGTAAAAAATGCAATTGAAAGTATAAAGCACTCACATTTAATTATTGTGCTTTCGCAAGTACAATCTTCAAAACGAATAGCATATCCCACAGTCGTTCCAAGTTTGCACTAAATATAAATATCATTCTATGTTAAACAATAAAACAATAATAATAATAATAATAATAATTAGGATTAAAACTCACTTCCATTTCCTCACTAACACGCTTCGCAACAGACATGGCAGCAACACGACGAGGTTGCGTACAACCTATAATGCCATAATTGCCATATCCATCCTCGTGAAGGTATTGTGTCAATTGTGTCGTTTTACCGGAACCAGTTTCTCCAACCACGACAACAACTACAAGCAGTAGAGTATTACATAAGCCTTCGGGAAATTTAAAGAAAATAAAAGTTATTACCGAGTAAAAATTAAAGGTACCTTGATTATCTCTAATTATTCTCAATAGTTCTTCACGAACTGCAAAAGCAGGCAAATATTCTCGTTGTTCACGAAGAGTTTTTGACCTAGAAAAGGTACTGGCGGCTTCGGATGCCTTTAAATGTGATGCAAATTGTGAATCACCCTTAGGAGTTTCCATCTCGCCTGCTGGATTTGTAGGCGGTGCTATATATGTTTTTTTTTCAAAAAGAAAAGAAAAAACAACAATTAAAGTAGGTCAACTTGATTTTTGACTTATGTAAATAAATTTCGAATTACACAAAGCTTACCTGCAGAGTCTTCATCAGAAGCTTTAACTCCCATAATGTTACCCAAGGCAGTGCCTGCAACATCTACAACACTCTTGGCTGCCTGTTGATAGCATCATAAAAAATGACATTAATACCCAACACACAGACATAAGGATTATATAGATGTTATTGATGACAAACCTTTTGACGTTCTATTTGTTCTCTCTTTTCTTTTACTAATTGACTCCCTTTCCTAGAGAAGACAGATAGATCGGAAGTAGGATCCTTTACAGATTGTACAGTTCCCAATTGTTTTGTGAAAACCATGCGACCGTCAAGAAATGGTGGTTTAATATCATGTACTAACAAATGCACACGTGCCTACATAAATCAATAGTTAGGTTTGAGTTAATCAGTTTAATTTTAATTAAAAGGTTGAGCGTTTATATACTCACTTCCGAATCTCCATCGAAATCCAAATCAATTTCTTTCTTCTGCACGATACCGGAAGTAAGCATACGATTTGTTTCCCAGAGTTCATTATCTTTGTTATACTGCTCCTGTCTTGCAGTAAGCTTTTTCTAATTTAAATAGATTAAATAGTTAGTATAGAATAATCCAGAATACAAAATAAAGTTTACAATCAAATCTCCCTAAATGCATAATTTGAAGTCGGATTACATTTCGAGAAGTATTGTATTTAGGAATTTACATTTAAGAAAGTCTGATTGTAATAATTATAATAATTGAATAGAAATCACACACACAAGCTGTCTCTGAGCGAGTTCATCCTCTTTTTTCTCAACAAAGTCCGAATAGTCAGCAAAAGGATTGTGCGTATCGTCCATTGCCTGAATTATAAATTAAACATTTAAATATTTATACACTTATTCTGAATTTGTAATAAATTAGCACTTACACCAGACGATTCCTCCATGCTGTACCAGTCACGATCTAGTTGCCGTTGCTCTTCTTCCCACTCGCGTCTATCATGGCTTATGTCTTCATCGTCTTGATTATATGCAAATTCCATATCATTATCAAACGATGCAAGTCGGGGAGTTGGAAAATCCCTCATGGGTTGATATTCTAATAATTTTATGTTTAATAAAATGTAAGTCAAAAGGCACAAAGTAATTTTTAGATGAAATATTTTTACCTTTTCGAGAAGTTAAGCCACCACCAGAGAATCGAGGTGTGATCGACCTTGTTGGTGTAGAATCCCAATCACTTCTACTTATACGACTGCGACTGTGATCACTGCTTTTTTCTCTATCACGCATTTCTTCTTTTACATCGCTGTCTCTCTCCCTCTTTCGGATCTTGCTTTTGTTAATCGGTCTTCTATAAAGTCCTCCAGTGCTACTCATGATTAAATATTACTGAGTATAAAAGCGGTTTATTGATATTCTTAATCTAAACATTCAGATATTTATACGGAGATCGACCACAATATATTCATGTAATTGGCTAATTTATTAACCAATCAAATCAAAGAAATTATTATGAGCCAAATTTGACTAGTAGATGCGTCGGATCAATTACTGTGAATCCTTGCAGTAGAACTCCTATTGCATAGATCCAAATTTAAATTTAGAGTTCTATCATTGCACGTTTTTCACCATCGTTACAGCCTTTATCTCCACATATAACACCAAATTTTACAGTAGTATTTGGGGTTTCGGGAACAATTTCCCAAATTCAGAAATCTATTACAGTCAAACCTCCATATATATATGTACCCAGCTTATACTATGAGTAGAGCACCTATTCAAGAATATGGCCGAATAAATATTCCGAAGCCCCATAACGGTAGAGACTGACCCATTTGATTTGTGCAGAATCTCTAATATATAATCTAACCCTTGAATTCACAAGATTAATAATTTCTACGTATTAATCTGTATTCATGACGATATCTCAATGCTTCTAACCATACTGGATAAATTTTTAGGATAAGAATCTCCTAAATTTATATTCTAACTCACGTTATATACTGTAAATCCTAAAATTATGTAAGTTTAATTTGTCTCAAATCTGAATAATTAACTCAAATTCTCCAATTTGAGGTTACGTACGATTTATTCTCGTTTGTGAATATTTAGAACCGTAAACATTAATTCAAATAAGTTTTTAATTCCTCGATAATTAACTATCAAACAATATAACTTTAATTACATACACACCAGATGTTAACCATTTTTAAAGTCGATACTATTTAGTTAACACAAATTAAACATTGGATGAAGTTTGGGAATTCCAAATTCTATAAGTCGAAATATCGTAGTTGGGTACTTTTCTGAAGTACTGTAAATTGCCGTATACAAGATCCCGTAGACCCCAATGTACTGGTGTGAATTGCGGAATCTACAATAACCAAATGCAGTTTTTTTTCAAATATCAGATCATTAAGAGATATGAGTGCCCTTTAAAATTTTCTCTTAATGATATAAAATCTCAATCATGTACAGTATTATATTCGACGTCGATTATAGGTTTTGACATTGTGGAATGCAAGAGACCTGGATCTTTATACGGCAATCCACGGTATCTTTGCACAATATAATTTCTGTTCATAATTTTGTTTGAAGTAATGAAAAAAGCCAACAACCTAAAATTTAAAAAAACAGGTTTTGAATACCCAAGATGTTTAAAATTTGAGTTTGCATATATATATATATATATAATTTGTTATTTCATTAATTTAAAATTTGGTATACTTTATTTTTCGTTAAAAATTGTAAATTTTAAGCTAGTTTTTTAATATAGACAAACCTCTATATATGCACACTCTATACCTCAGTCCCAACTAATAAGAACTCTTATAAAACTACTCTCTATAAATGCACACTCTCCACAAATGCGCACTTATGGTGGTGCATATATGAAGGTTTGACTGTACATGTATTTTTATCTTTTATAGGTATTTTATCGAGTAATAAATTTTTTATTAAATTTAAGTGGGAAAAAAATGACAACGCGCGATCTACTAAACTGATTTAATAATTCTATCACTATTAGAATCGTAATAATTGCACTATAATATTTATCAGAAACTTAAAGAAGGTTTGTTTAGCTGAAAAAAACCTTTTAATTGCAAGCTAGCTGCACCCCAACCCTATAGAAAAACTATTTTTACTATAGATTTACTATTTATTATACCCTTTAATCGCGATTTATCTCTTAACTCTTTAAATTTTTTTTTAAAAAAAAACTTTAGATTAAGCATTTTTGCAACAAATACACAATCTTATAAGTTTTGTTATAAAGAAAATGCTTTTTTTTGTTTGTATTTTCTAGTTTCAATATTTGTCGGGGCTGATGCTGAAATTCGAGATCTCGATTTGTAAATATAAGCCCAGCTAAAATCCAAATATATATTTAATTATCAAATTTAGCCCAAAATCCTAATCCATCTCTAAAAAAAACCCCCAGAAAATTTTAAAATTTCATATCAAAATAGGTTCAAATTTCAGCATCAGCCGCGTCAATCGAAAAAGTAAAATACATGCAATTGAAAGTGAAAAAACACTTGAACTGCTCACTTTTGATTATTTTATATATTATGAATAAAGAGAATCTCAGCACAGTCAAAATGTACAACACTTGGGGTTCAAAATCCCGTGCATGATGTATATCACGTGCGATATTCTTAGTCTCAACTCTCGATCTGAATGCTTGGACTATCCGTGAAAGATTATCAGATCTTCGGATCGGGCTATGCCGAATTGAGACAATAGAAGAAGAATGTCATCACTTTTTTGATACTGATAACAAATATAACAATTTTTAGTCGGCAAGAACCGAAGAGGAACTGGAATCATGAGCAGAATAGTGCGCGAGGCATCTCTCCTCTTAATCTGCTATATTTTTCCAATAATCTTTTGTATTTACTTTTATATTTATTTGAAATCTTGCAACAATAATCACACACGAAAAAAAGTGTAGACGGTGATTGCTTAAACAGCTTTACATACTTTGTTTCAAAAAAAAAAAAGAAGATATATATATAAAAATTAAAAAATTAAAAAATTAAAAATAAAATTAAAAAATTAAAAAAATTAAAATTAAAAATAAAAAAATTAAAAATAAAAAAAAGCTTAAACATATATCTGGGTTAGGAAAGGGTCCGCTAACCGTTGTCTCCAATACAAGAGTAGATTGTTTATCTTGAAACTTCAGATCTTTTTATCAATCGACTTGATTTAAAACTTCCCTTTCGGAATAACAAGGTGAGATTTTAAAAAGGAATGATTTGTCATCACGTTATGGCAACCTTCTAACCAGTCATTTTCAACAAATCAACATCGATATCGTATCTATGATGGGTCAATATCGAATATCAACATGTAGATAAAAATAATTCGATAAAATTTTGGCTTATCGGTATAATTATAATATACTTAATAATAAATAAAGCTTAGATCCAGTCTCTATACTGTAAATAATATAGACGATCATTAATCCTTTTATGATGTAGATTGGCAAAGTCTTTACTGTATGTAATAGCGCCCGGGGCGTTAGTTTAAAAGTCGGAAGTTTAAAAGAACCTAGTTATTATTAAAATTATAAATTATAAATTAAATTGAGAGATGATCTACTCTTATTTCTAAAATAATGCCCTAGGGCGACAGTACGATAACTAAATTATACCTATAGAAATTAAAAATGGTTTAGGGGATCTTTACTGGTAAAATGATCTTACAAGATTATGACTTTTCTAATCATTAAATTAGACCACTTGACTATTAGAAATCATAACTTACATAATCTCGTATGGTTATCTACTAAAGATCCCAGTGTGCATTGAAAACTTTATTTTTTTACCCCTAAGGGCCTAAATTTTCAGTCCGCATAATTTAGGCCAGAATTAAATATCATTAGGATTGCACTATATTAATAATGCAAGCTAACCGTCTCAGAATTCTATTTATACATATAATATATTCGTGTGACTTACGTAAAGTCTGAAAGAAGCGAAGTAAAGGAGACTACGTGATAATAACACCTATTTAGGATGTATAATATTTCTATATTAAGTAAAAGATTCGAAATTGTAGGTTAAAGTTTTTAATAATTTCTTTATTCAAAAAACCTTGTCTCTAAAAAAAGTTAGATCGATTTTTAGATTTTTTATGTCGATATTTATCATTCGAAAAATGAAATTCACAATTTGGTACAGACGCGATACGACATTCCACATGATCAAGATAAAATGCATAATGGTTATCTAATAGAACCAATAGAACCGTATACACGTTCGTACGTACGTAATACCAGCGAAGTTGCAATGATCATAATCCTCGAGGAAATAAACATCTATAAATAAAATTTTTGTTTAAGTAATGTTTTACGTGACATATGACACTAGAAGGATAAACATCGTCATGTGAGTTTAACAATTATTCCTAAATTATAAAGCCTATTGTTCTAAATGGTACACAGTAAGCCATTGATGATTAACGCGGGCAATTCGTTTCCGCATCCGGATAACAACCTTATGATCTAAAAAGGTCCTTTAATTTGATAAATGTTAGTACCGGAAAAAGAACTCCAGAAAAGCATTTTGGACTAGATCACTTACTGTATAAGATTAGATTTTATCTATATGCGCTCAAACAATGCATGCCAAAAAAATGGCAGACTTTTAAGGCAAATTGATCTCCCATCAACTTTGGATGACGTTTTTGTGAAGAATATATCCTACAATGGTCACATAACAAATCATTTTTTACATATTCAAACCCTAAATATGTAATAATGGCCGCGTTGATCGATTTTAATACGTACTTCACCCTTGGTACCGCGAACACAGACATAATGTTGTATCACTTAATCGGAACTAAAGAACGGCGCATACCTCACAAAGTTTCTAAAAAAGTCCATTATTGTAAGGAAAATCAAATACAATTTTTAAGTATCTTTTTACGCCAAAAATCGATAACTATCTCTTTTTCCGAGTTTCTCGAGAAATCCTGTTTATTTTTTTTTCATCGTTACACTTAGATCTTCATGTGACAATAGTCGATTCAAACAATTGTAATAAAATAAAAAGGTTTGATCTGTACATTTTCTTTGAGATATCGTCTTTTTCCCCTCTAATCTCCTTATTTATGTTTTCATCCTGCGTGTTGTATCTATATTAATTCATTTTATTGGTGAAAGACTGCATGCCTTCCTCTAACGAAAAAAATTATCTACGCCTTTTTTATATATTAACTTTGCATCAGGTACCTGCGGTGAATTTAATTTGGGTGATACGGTGACATACTTTATTTCGTATATATTTTCTTATATACGTAAATTATCCTTTTTTCTCCGATACCTAATCTTTTTTTTTTAAAAAAAAAATAAATCATAAAGACTTGAGAATATCCACCTAAACTTTTATATCTCTCGTTTGCTTGCTTGGTGGTTGCTCTCAACTGTTAAAAGCCCCAGCTCTGCGCCAGTTCCAGAGACCTGGTACAAAGATCAGCTGACTGGTACGCGACTTTTAACATGAAAATCATTTTCCCTATTTACAAATCTTTAATGATTGCGTACATAATAATTGACTCCCTTATCGTTGTTCAATTAATTATAAATAGTCATTCCGGTTTTTCAAATGAATGATTTGTCCTCGTTCAATCTCTCCTTACCTACCGATGGAAAAACAAAAGTAGGTGTAACGTACCAAATCATCTTTTTTAGTAAATTCTCGAATTAATTTTTTTTCTCCTTTTTTTTTTTTTAATTGATGATTAGATATTTGTATAAGAACGCTCGTTGCGGAACAACCTCTTCTTTAATTAGTAATTGGCTTTCCTCTTCTGCGTACATTAGTATGCAGAAGTATCGGTAGTTATTTCTTCTAAAAATTCTTGACTGAAATTTTTTAAACTTTTTATCAATAAGATATATATTATGTTGAATTTTATGATTCAGTCCTATAGCATATATTGGTGGAATGACCTTGGTAGCGTTGGTTTCTATGTGGATTTTTATGCAACAAACACATATAACCGAATGTGATTCTGATTCGGAAGATTCCAATGATCCTAATGACGGTTTTTCTTCGATTAGTCGGGAGAGAATTACGAGCACCACCGGATCCCGCAAAAGGACACGAGATGGAACTTCTCAGAAAATTAAGATTAATAATTCGCCTATTCCTGCCAGCAGAGATTCTAAACAACTTAAAGATGAATTAGACCGTCCCCAGTCAAAATTTCTAAAGTTTAGAACTCGCGGTGATATTAATCACTTTAATAAAAAATCAAAACCTTCGTTGACCGAAGTTAATAATGATAATGTTACAAGTTCCCCAATAATTGGGTCTTGTGGATGTGTTGAAGATAAAACCGAGGCTTTTGAACAGAATAAAAATATAAATTATCAAAATTTACAAATACTTGGCAAACGATCTAGGTCAAGTCAAAGTAATCGACATCCCAACGGTCGCCTTCTTGCTGAAACTACTTATATTCACGATACTTTCTATACTAATGCTAAACTGCGAGGTCATAAAGCAGATACTTTTAAAAACTTTGATGAAGCCAATGTCCGTAGAATTGAGTCCGAAGTTAACAATGCGATCAATGATTTACAAGGTAGAATTTCCATTGCTCTTAATAAAATTAAATCAACCCAAATCGATGAAGGTTAGTTTAAAGGTTAAAATTGTTTCTTTTTTTTATTCTATGCAAAATAATAATTTCTAATTCCTATATTTAGTTATCTGTGATCATGATGATATAATGAACCTAGAACCATCTCCATTTCTAAGCACTCTAGAAAATATCGAACAAAGCAGATTTGATCGAGATGCACATATTGCGACTCAACTCGAAAAACAGACAGAATTAGAAGATGATGTTGAATTTATCCTTAAAATGATCAAAGGATCAAATTATTCTGATTCTAATGGTGAGAATTGGATTAGTAATAATTATTCTGAGATCCCTGTGAATGTTAACAACTCACCGAAATCCGGAAAAAAAGTAGTAACTTTCGCAACACTTGCATCAGATATTGGTCAAGCGTCCCAACATAGAATATTAAGAAACTTTGAAATACTTGAAATTTTAAAACAAAAGGAGCTCACCGAGAAAATTATCGAAGGAAGTTTAAAAGGTGCACTCGAAATTGTAAAAGCGCAATCGTTGGCAAGGGCCCGAAGCACAAGGCGATTAAAGCGACCACATAAGATAAGTTATGAAATCGATGACGTTAACAAAAAGCTCCTGTATATTGATTCGTGGCAGAAGGATATGATTGATAGGCTTGATGGTTTAGAATGTGAGTTTGATGTTATAGAAAAAATGATCGATGACGATCGGATACTTACTGAATCATTTGAGGCCAAAACAGATAAGGATGGTGAAGGTTAACTTGTATTATTTGTTTTTATTTTTTTAAATTATGTAACGAGTTTTTCTATTGCTTGATGTGATAGTTGTATATAAGTAATTAGTGGCACTTGATATAATAGCATTGTAAATAGTTGTATAACAATTTTACAATTCATGTTCTCACATGCATTTTCATTCACTAGATTTAGTTTTCTTTTTTCGCATCGATCGTGTATATAGAATACATAGATATTGCTTTTTTAGCAATTGTACATAGAAGGAGTCTGGATACTCTACTCTTTTGTTATAATGTATAATAAATTTGTTTCAGTGGTTTAATGGTATTATTGGTCAAAAAAATATGTATTCGAATATTCTTCAAAAAATTATGATATTTTACTGAATATTTACTGAATATTTTGATTTAGTACTTTAACATTACTAAAAAAAACCTATTGAGTTTTATTGCATAAAATTTTGTGAATTTTTTTTATTTAAAAGCCTTAGATTTAGTGAATAGAATATATTATTTTTAGCCTAATATCTTCTTTAGTTAACTTGTTATAAATATTTAAAAAGTGTTTACAATAATATGATACTCTCTTGTAGATAATGCAGTAGTAATAACAAAAATAAATAGAAAATAGAAGATTAAATTAATAAATTTGTAATAGTTTAAAGAAAAGAATTATAATCTATAAAAACATTATAGAGATTATAAAATTCAAAAGATTGCAATTAAAACAAAAAGTATAATAATAGATTAACAATTTAAGTTGGGTTAAAGTCAAAATCTTAGAATTTTAATTTTGTAACCTAAAAATAAAAGTCAAATCAAATGTAAAACCTTATAAAAAGTTTCAAGATAAAGTACAAAAATAAATTAGAAATTTTTAGAAGATCAACTATACAAAGAAAAAGCACTATTGTAACAATAACATTACAGAAGGTTTAGCTATATAGTAGTGTTGTATAAGTAAGTTTTCAAGAGATGAAGCAGAATTAACCTCTCTGTATCTAATTTGTAAAGTACTTAATTAAGAGTATAATATAAAGTAGTAGCTAAAACTAAAGTAGTAAGTAATGTAATATATATAAAAAAAATCTGTAAAAAACCTATAGGTCAATAGTGCAGTGGTTAGCCTCCTAAGTTTCAATTGCAAGGTCATAAGTTCAAGTTCAGAGAGTGACAAAAACTTTGTTAGGACTATGATTGAAAAAAATCTGCAGAGAATTTTATTTAAAAAACAAAAACAAGATTCATACAAAAAAGAATATAGTGATCAGCATAATCACAGAGGCAGAAACAATCAGATAAAGTATAATCTGTTAACAAATAATGTTAACATTAAGAAAGCCTGATTTAAGAATACATAGAATTAAGAATATCAAAATTTATAAATGATCTAGCTGGTGAATTATTTGAAGTTAAAAAACTGCAAACCAAAGGAGATAATAAATTTTATATTACAGAATCAAGAACCTAGGACATCATATGATAGACTTAATAAAACATGAGTTATCTTACAGTTTGGTAACATACAGGAACCTCATGCTGTTTAATAATCTTTGCAGAATGATAATTTTGACCTTTAAGAGATATGACAGATTCTAAAAGTGTCTAAAGATCTTCAGGATAGTAAAGAGAGATAAAAAAAAAAATCTGTAATAAAGTATTAATCTAATTAGAATTGAAATATCTTAGATAGATACTAGTAAAAATATTATAAAAATAATACCTAAGTCAGTCATATATTATAACTTAGATAATAAATATTATATTTGTATATAATAAGTTAAAGTTCTAGGTTTTTTCATAATACTAGTTTTATAATATATTAGTATGTAACTAACAATATATTTCTCTAATATAAATTACTATATTTTTTTTAGTAACAATATAATGAGCATTTTTTTTTGCAGGTTTTTAATTTGTAAATTCTCAACAAATTACATATTAATTTGAATCATAATTTTTTTATTTAGCAACTATATATATAAACTTTATTTATATAATTTAATATCATATAGAGTACTTATTAGTAACAATTACAGTAAGAATATATTAATATATATTTTTAATACCATTTTTTAAAATTGAACTATTGATTTTAAACTACTTTTCCTAAAGCAAATTAAAAAGTTCTAACTTATCACTTGGTAGAGAAATTGTTTATGTATATGAAGTTTTAATTTATTTTACAAATATTTAATAGGAATGAGATCAGAACTATATAAGGGCTATAGAAGTTGCACAATATGATTTTTGTCAAACCATTTCTGAGAAAATTTAAAAGTATGAATTTTAGTATTGTCATTTTGAAACATATAATTTTTTTGATTAACTATATTTATTAAATTGTTTAAATAGAGTATATAATAAATTTTAAGAATTTTTATATAGTTTTTTAAATTTATCTTGTCATGAATCCAAACTAAAGATCCAAGACTGTATATACTAAAACATCCTCAAACTATTATGCCTACTTTTTATAACCTAAATATTGGAACTAAACATTTAATATTATAATTTTTTTGAAGTTTTCTTTAAGCATACTTATAACTATTTCTTTAAATATTTCAAACCTCAATTTATCATTTTAAATAATATTTTTTCATCTTTTATTTCAATCTACTTTTGCATTTGTCTAATTTATATAAGTTATATGAAACTTCTCATCTATAAATAGTTTTCTTAAACCAATCTGATTATAAAATTCTTCATTATAAAATAGTTCATGTAAATATTTTTATAAAGCTTATTTTAACAAATTTGTTCATCAAAACATTTAGTGTAATCTTTTTATCCTTTTTTAAAATACAAGTTAGTTGTCAAACATTATGTTTAGTTACTTTAGTAAGTTGTCTAGAATGAGATAAAAATACAGCTTTTTTAGCCTTTTATAGTATGTTATTACATCATTAACAGTACTTTTAGAAAGTTTTAAGGTCTTTGAGATTCTTATTTGCTTCATATAGTTTTTCAAATATTAATAATTTAATTGCATTTTTTATTGATAAGCTGTTTTCTTTGTTTTATAATAATAAAAAAAAAATAAAAAAATAAAAAAAATAACCATACTAGTAGGTTTAAATAAAATCATAAAAAACTTTTTTAAAGAACAAATATAGAATTTTTAAGAAAAAAAAATTTTTGTCAACAATAAGTTATACAAATGATTATCATCAATTTTGAAAAATCTAGTAATTTATATCAAAGAAGTGTACATCTACAAAAAAGTCTACAAGAAATATGTAATTAAATTATAGACTAAACTAATTATAAAAATATAAATAAAAATATATATATAATAAACTGCAAATTAATAATTTGAATTTTAATAAATTTAGTTATACTAATAAAATATTAGAAAATATATTAAGTTATATATATCAAATTAATAACAACAAGAACAAAAAACTGCAAAAGTTTGCCAATTTAAAAAAGAAAAAATTATTTCAAGTAGTAAACAAATAGGTAATAGTTAAATTAAAAGTAATAAGAAATTAGAATATAATAAGATAACTACAGTCTTACTAGCAGTTTAGTAATAATATTATAATATATAGTAAAAGCTACAAAATATATATAAAAAATATAAATATAATTAACTCTTTCTGTAGATCATGTATACCAAAAACACAAAAGACATTTAATTATTTCTCAATATTCTACTAAGTAAACCTTACTTGACCTCTTAAGTTGTTCAGCACACTTTTCTACTCCTAGGCAGCTATGTTTCAAGTTCTAATAACACCTGGATATTGGGGAAAATTTCAAGAACTATATTTTTGAGTTTTGTCTATTTACTCAATATTTTACTAATTAAATCTATTACATTGCCTATTCAAAAGTTGTTTAGCTCACTAAGTCAGAAATTTTGATATATATTTTGTTCAAAACAGACCAAAACTCATAGAAATACAAGTGAAAAGCAAAAACAAAAACTTGCTCTTTGCAGGTTTTTTCATTGGCAATTTTGAAAAAATTTGCAGAGGTGTCTCAGAAATTTCACTTTTCTGATACCTATTAGAATTTTCTAAACACCTAATCAGCTTACCTGAAGCTTAAACTTTTTTCAAAGTTTCCTAATTAGTCTGGAAACCTTTAAATTAAACAAATCTTTTTGGAAAACCTATTTAGAAATCTATTTTTAGAAAAAAATGCTAACCTTAACTACAGTTGCATCTGATACTATCGATCTCGACTATTTTTATCAAAAGTGTCCTAAAAGCTTTGGTATTGGTATTCTTGAAGATGCAGCTAATACATCACATCCCATTTCTGCAAACAA